ACACAGACACACACACACTTATATATTTGTTGGATAAATATTTGAAGACACACACATGTTTATTTCACTTATATGTATAGACGCGGTTAATTAATACACTAATACACAACTGCACGCACGACAACGAATTTCACTGAAAGTATACATCTTTGTTTCCTTATATATTGAATGATGAAAATTTACAGCACTTACGAGAAAGCAGTTTACTTTTAACAACATTATTATAAGACATAGTTCTTGGGACAGGAATAAATGCAAAATTTATTAATTTATAATGGTCAATTTCTGAGATAACGAACGACCTACGTTTCACTTTATATTTAATTATTGTAGATAATATCCAAATTTATTTTACATACGCGAAACATAGTCACTGTCAATGATCGGATGGCATTGGCTCATTTACGGAGATTGACGAAGTTAGCAACCAATAGAAATGCAGGCGCCATATGACTGCACTCGCTAGCCACACTTGCTCACCAAAAATTACTACAGTGGATAGTAGGTTTTAGTGGAAAATGTTTACATTTGTCAGATTTTGTCTAATGAAATTAGAGAAAACTATAATCAATTTTTGCTACATTTACAACTCTTACACAAAATATTAAAACTTGCTATTTCAATGTAGCAAATTTATCTATTTCTTTTGTAAATTTATCTAATTCTGTAGCACATTATGCTAAAAGTCCCCTTATTTCCGGTCATTGCAACCATTTTTAGTAATTTTTACGAATGTGGGTCTCTCCGTGTACAGATATTTTGAGCAAGTCACCTAAACCTTCTTACATAAAAAATTCGTTCTCTTTCAAAGAATCTATTGATAATTTAAAAATCCCACAGTTTTATGTTATGTTCCCTGCTGGAAGTAAAGGGATAGAAATCTTATCTCTTTGAATATTTTTTTATCTCTGAGATAGAAAGAGGTAAAGTTTCTCTATCTTACACGCATAGAAAGGGTTTGCTGTGGCAGCGAACATTTTGCTGCCACAGCAAACCTTGTTCGTTGAAATAGGGTCAGCGAACAAGTTCGCTATGACAGCAAACTCGACTAAATTTTTACTAATGTTTGCTGTCACAGCTAACATGTTCGCTGCCACTGCAAACTTCTTCGCTGTGGTAGCTAATTTTCAGAGATGTTATACAGCAAACATATGTTTACTGCTGCAGCTAATTTCTTTTTTTCCGTGTAGTCTATCCCCACTTTATCACTTCAATCACTTTTTATCTCTCCTTCTATATAAATCCTTTTCAATAACCTTTATTTCATCTCTGTTAATACTTTCAATATTCACACCTATCTCTTTCTATCCCTAATTTTATCTAAGAATATACTTATCTCTTTTAATAATCTTGTTTTTATCCCAGGCTATCCCTTTTTTATTCCCCTCAATCTCTTTCTATCTTCCCTTTTTATTCAATCTCTTTTAATAACCCTTACTTTATCGCCTTTTATCCTCTTACTATTCACTTCTTTCCCTTTCTATCCCTATTTAAATCTCAGTCCATACTTGTCTCCTTTTATTTCTTCGGTTCTATCAGAGTCTATCTCTTTTCTATTAAATTTTAAAAAATTCGATTTTTTCTTTTTTCTTAATCTTTTTCAATAACCTTCATTATATTCCATTGAATCCTTTTTCAATCCCCAAAGATAACTTTTTATACCTTTTTCAATATCACTTCATACTTATCCAGTTTTATATCTCCCTGCTGGAGGTCAAGGGATAGGAATCCTATCTCCTTGAATATTTGTTTACCTCTGAGATGGAAAGAGATAAAGTTTATCTCTCTTAATCTATCCCCATTTTTATTACTACTATCGCTTTCTATCTTCTCTTCTTCTCAATCTTTTTGAATAACATTTTTCTTATCATCTTCAATTCTTTTCCTATTAACTTTCTTCCCTTTCTGTCGCTGCTTTAATCTATTTAATCTTTAAACTTTAATTAAATAAAAAACTTTAATCCAAGAACACACTGATCCCTGCTTATGACCTTCCTTTATCCCAGGTTTTTCCTTTTTTAATCCTTTCAATCTCTTTTTATCTCATATTTTTTCTCAATCACTTCTAATAACCCTTATTTCATCCTTCTACTATTTACTTTATTCTCTTTCTATCCACATTTGAATCTTAGTATTTACTTTTTTCCTTATCTTTATAAATAATCTCTTTTAATAACCTTTACTTTATCTCTATTAATTCTTTTACTATTCACTTTCTTTTCTTTTTATCCTAACTTTATTCTAATGCCATACTTTTTTCTTTTTATCCGCTCGATTCTATATCAGTCTCTTTCTTTCCAATTCGATTGAAAAAGGCCTTTTCTTCTTTTATCTCAATAATTTTGTTATGACATTTATTATGCGCCTTTAAGCCCTTATACTATTCTCTTCCTTTGCTTTCTAATACCAATTACATATGAGTACATACAATACTTATCACTTTTCAGGCTTCGAAGTGACACACTTTTCCACTTTTTTGACACTTTTTTTGGTCAAGCCTACTTTTTGCTACTTATTTTGTCAAAAAGCTGCTAAATGATACTTTTTTCCAAAAAAGGTAAAAAAAATTTACAGAATACAAGAATTTTAGTTTTTTTGGTGAATTTCGTAGATTTCAAAAAACCCGCCAAGTGAATTAAATTTATTATTGGACGCGTGATTATAATATATTATAATAATTACTAATAGTGGATGTTTATTACACGGAGAGACCCACATTCGTAAAAATTACTAAAAATGGTTGCAATGACCGGAAATAAGGGGACTTTTAGCATAATGTGCTACAGAATTAGATAAATTTACAAAAGAAATAGATAAATTTGCTACATTGAAATAGCAAGTTTTAATATTTTGTGTAAGAGTTGTAAATGTAGCAAAAATTGATTATAGTTTTCTCTAATTTAATTAGACAAAATCTGACAAATGTAAACATTTTCCACTAAAACCTACTATCCACTGTAGTAATTTTTGGTGAGCAAGTGTGGCTAGCGAGTGCAGTCATATGGCGCCTGCATTTCTATTGGTTGCTAACTTCGTCAATCTCCGTAAATGAGCCAATGCCATCCGATCATTGACAGTGACTATGTTTCGCGTATGTAAAATAAATTTGGATATTATCTACAATAATTAAATATAAAGTGAAACGTAGGTCGTTCGTTATCTCAGAAATTGACCATTATAAATTAATAAATTTTGCATTTATTCCTGTCCCAAGAACTATGTCTTATAATAATGTTGTTAAAAGTAAACTGCTTTCTCGTAAGTGCTGTAAATTTTCATCATTCAATATATAAGGAAACAAAGATGTATACTTTCAGCGAAATTCGTTGTCGTGCGTGCAGTTGTGTATTAGTGTATTAATTAACCGCGTCTATACATATAAGTGAAATAAACATGTGTGTGTCTTCAAATATTTATCCAACAAATATATAAGTGTGTGTGTGTGTGTGTGTGTCTGTGTATGTAAAAATCCTTCCAGTTTGTCTCCATTAGTCAAGAATTGACGGGAAACCGGCGACAAAAATCCGTATTTTTTCTTTCATTCTTTCTTTCTGCATTTACAAACGACTGTAGTAATTTTACGTACACAATGCTTCTGAGTTTACTACAGTTATTTGGAACTATTGGACGAAATAGTAAGAAACTTTGCTAATTTGGTGAACATTTGTCGGGATTAGTGACTTAGTGTAGAAAATAGTAAAAAATACAAAAAGTCCCCTTATTTCCGGTGGTTGCAATGTGAAAATAGTAAATTCTAGTGTGATTTTATACAAAAATTAGTAATCTCGGTCTCTCCGTGTAAAAACTTTAGACATAAAATGTATAGGAGAATTTATGGTTGAAACAACAGGTCTAAGCGGACAATTATCTTTATGTATTTTTGTCAAACCAGAAAATCTTGCCAAATTTGTGTTCGTAGTTTTAAATCTTTTCTTTTTATATTTTCTTCCAAATAACCATTATTTCTTAATTTATTTAGTTAAACTAAATATAAAACAAACTCTTTTTTGTAGAGGCACTAATGGATTCTCAGAAATTAGATCATAATTATATATTTTTGTCACTTAGCATGGAATTTACCTTATCAAAATAATCTTGTTTATTTAAAATGACTGTTGTATTGCCCTTATCGGCCTTAGTAATAAAAAGGTATTTATTATTTTTCAAAAAATTTGTGGTTAACTTAATATTTTTAGCTATAATTCTGTCAGAATGTGAAATGAATTTAGGATTTTTTATATAACAGGAACTAAGAGTTAAAATCTTATGTCTAATCTCCTTTCTACTTTCTTTAGGAATACTCATTAAGTCATTCTCTAGATCTTTAACAATATTAAAAATGTGTGAGTTTTTCGAAGTCATAAACGTATAGAACTGAATTTACCACCCAATCTTAAAATGTCATTTATCTCATCTGGTATAGGAGTATTAGTACAAATGGATCATTAATATTGTTTTTGAGAATTTTTAATATGTAAATTTAATTCAAATTGTTCATTAATATTAAAATTTTTACTTAATTTTTCAAACTTACTATTATAATAATTCTGTTTTATATTATAATTATAAGATATATTATAATTTACAATTTCTTGAATTTTATTAACAGAAATATAGTTTCTTAGTTCATCCAGAACTTTGTTTTTGACTTTGTTTAAGTAATTTAAGTGATTGTGAATGTCAAGAATTTCAATATTAATTTTAATTTGATATCTTGTATTATATGTAATTATATGTTTATTGCTTTTTAGGGGCAGTCCTTAAACCACGTTGCCTTTTGAGGGGGAGTGTGATCAAGCAATTGACTACGATGAGAGTAAAAGATGTCACTAATACATGTTAATAACGTGCTACATGGGGGAGATGGGGGGGGGGGGGTGTCAAAATTCCCAAAACAATGGTGCTACGTGGTTTATGGACGATCCCTTAGAAAAATTAGCGTGAACGCATAATTTGTCGTTTCATCACTCTTATAAATAAATTTTAATTGTTATTTTTAGACTGATATTCGGGCAGAACTTTCTAAAATGAGTTTTGCGGACTTGCAGAAGTTAAAGGAAAAATTGGGTTCTAAAGTTTATAATGAAGCTATGTTTGGAAAACCAATAGGTAAAAAGACTGTTTTGAAACGGGAAAATAAAAACAGACCACAGGAAATTTCTTCAAAAAAGCGAATGTTTCAATTAAAAAAACTCATTCCTGTTAAGCAAAATGTACCAAGAGATCCTAGATTTGATAGCCTTTGCGGTACTTACAATGAAAAAGCTTTCAAAAATGCATACAGCTTTCTTACAGAAGTTAAAAAAAACGATTTGACTGCTCTTAAGGATGAGCTTAATAAAAATGCCGAGGATCCTAAAGCTGTTAAAAAAATTAAATACCTTATTCAGAGGTTAGAAAATCAGATAAGAGAAGAAGGAAGAAGAAAGGAAGCAGAGGATAAGAAACAACTGGAGAAACGAGAAATCATTAAAACCATAAAAAGTGGAGAGAAACCTAATTTTAGAAAGAAATGTTAGTTTAGAACTCTCACATTTTTGTTTAATTTAATTCTTATTTAATGTACTTACCATAGTCATGATTATTTATTAATTTTGTTTTTCATTTTCAGCTGAGAGGAAAATTTTAGACCTTGTCTCCCAATATGACGATTTAAAGAATTCTGGAAAACTGAAAAAGCATATCAAAAGACTACGGAAAAAAAATGCTAGTAAAGACAGAAGGAGATTAGAGGAATCCAATTCAGACTGATATATTATCTTTGATAAATAATACTTATTAGTTATATATTCTTTAAAAAATGTTTACATTTATGTTATATTGAAAGTCTTTTTCAGGCATCACAGTACCTTTTTTCCTCAAAAAGGGGACAAAAATTTATTTATTTATACAACATGAATATATAATTCAAATTTGTTATCATATAGCTTCCATAATATTTTTTAAAAATGATTCGATTTTAATCAGAGTTGCCTTGTTTTTCCCTGACTTTTCCCTGATTTCCAGACAAAATTTTGACTTTTTCCTTAAAGAATATTCTGCGATTCACTCTAAAATTGATTAGATACTCAAATAAATGTTCTATTACATTTATTTACGAATTTCTTTAATTGTAAAATTATTCGAAAACAGCAATAACTTCTTTTTTAAAAAAATATCACGCAGGACCACAAAGGGAAATTGAGGTGGACATGTTCTAAGCATAGGTGACCTTTATGTTTTTGGGGTCGCTGATTACGATGCCGGTGTCCGTATGACCCCATCACGTCAGTATCAAGGTCAACTCAAGGCATCGCAATCAGCGACCCCAAAAACATAAAGGTCGCCTATGCTTAGAACATGTCCACCTCAATTTCCTTTTGTGCGGTCCTGTGTATTTAAATTTTAATCATTATTATTTTTCCATTGGAATTAAGATTTTCAAAACATTTAAATTCATATCTCTTTGAAATTCAACAATTTTTGAGAACATTATTGTAAAACATGAAGAAAGTGATAATTTTCATCATGTTTTATAATAATTAAAGATGACCGAGTGATAAGATCATTATTTTCTACTATAAAGAATATTTTTACTGTAATTTCTTCAAAATTATTTTCATCATTTCAATTCAATTATTATTTTTTAGAAATTTTAACTAAAATTCTTCTTTACGTCAATTATTTACAATAATTTAAAAAAAAAATTCTGAGAATTTTCAAATGTATTTGTTTACAATTCAATTTTACGAAATTTCATCGATTATTCGGAAATTCATCAATTAAATATACATCAATATAATTAAATATATTAAAAATAAAAACTTCGAATAATTTCAATTAAACTTTTTGAAAAAAATTAATTCTACAGAAATTTTAGTTAAAAATATGAAAAATTCAGACTTTCAAAGATTTCAATTTGAAACTTTTTCAAAGTTCAATTATTTCTAAAAATTCACGCTATAATGCTTTTAATATTCAATTATCATGTAAAATTTTAACTGAAATTCCCTGAAATCAATTTCTATTAGAAAATTCTACGAGAATTAAATTATTTACATATAAAAATAATAATTTATATAAGTATTAAATAATTGAATGTTTCTTAATATTGAATTCTCATAAAGAATTTAAATAAAATTATTTAAAATAATTACATTTTTCAAGGTATTTGATTAAAATTGTACGAAAAATAATTGAAATTCTGCAATGAGATTGATTATTTATAAAAATAATGGAATTATTGCAAAGAAATTTATAAAAAATTTGTAAATAATAGAATTTCTGCAAAATTATTTTATTATTAATGAAAATAATTAAACGTTTGCGTAGAATTTTAATAAAAAGTTTTTTAAATAATTGAATTCTTTTGGAAAATTTTATTAAAATAGTAAATATTGATTATCATTGAATTTAGAAAAATTTTTGCAAATAATTGAAATTTCGACAAGAATTTTATTAAAATTTTTGAAAATACTTGAATTTCGAAGAAGAATCAAGATTCGCGGTAGAGAATCGCCGCCAAGTAAAAAGCAAAAACCGCGAATATATATTCTCGAAATATCGGCTGTTTTTCGATAAAATCGAATAACTCGAGTAAATCTTAACCGATTTAGCTCATTCTTTTTTCGTTGGATAAAGAATCAAAAAAGAAAGAATTCTGTTAAGTTTATTTAATATTTTATATAGTTTTATAGAACCGGAAAAATACCGATTTTTTGAGATTTAGACAAACGTGGAGCGTAAACTCCTAAATGGATTTCTATAATATTCTAGAATGTTATTAATTGGGTTGAAATCTCGATATATATTGCAGGAAATTTTAATTCACGTCTTATTTTTTTAAAAATTTTGATTTTTCTTAAAAAAATTGAATTTTTTGACATTTAGACAAACGCAGAGACTACACTTCTAAACGGTTATGTGAAATATTCTAGAATATTATTGATTGGGTTAAAATCTCGATATATATTAAAGGAAATTTTAATTCATTTCGTATTTTTTTAAAAATTTTGATTTTTCTCAAAAAAATTGAATTTTTTGACACTTAGACAAACGCAGAGACTAAACTTCTAAACGGTTATGTGAAATATTCTAGAATGTTATTGATTGGGTTAAAATCTCGATATATATTAAAGGAAATTTTAATTTACTTCGTATTTTTTGAAAAATTTTGATTTTTCTCAAAAAAATTGAATTTTTTGACATTTAGACGAACGCAGAGATTAAACTACTTAACAGATTTGTAAAATATTTTGAAATATTATTATGGATTGAAAGCTTTGAAATTTATTTTAAAAACTTTTTTGTTTTTATGTTATTTTTAGAGTGTATAGAATAAAAATTCTAAAAATTATGTAAAAATTTCTGTAAAGAATCATATCTTAAATAAATTCTTATTTAAAACTTAATTGTATTTTATTTTAAATTAATAGTTCAAAGACCACAATATTTTTACCATTAATTATTTTATTTATTACAAAGTTGAGATGACGCAAAAAGTTTTAAAATCCCAACAAAAACATCTTTGATGCAAAAAGTTCCGCCAAGTAAAAGATTTTGTGACTGTCCAAACAATTAGTGAAATAAAAGTTTACCAAGTAAAATTTATAATTAAAATTTTAATAATAATGATTGATTTTAAATATTTTCTCTACTACACAACTCGAAGTACATATTGCAGTTGAAAAAAACAACCCGGGCTTAGCTGTTGTTATTGTACATTGCGGCTTAATTACATTTCCGAATTAAGTCAATGTTCTTCATTGCATTTTGAATTGTAACAAATAAAATTTAACTTTATAATTAACATTAACAAAAACCGAAATCTAATTACTCGTCATAATAAAAAATTTCTTTTTCAGCAATTTAAAAATCTTGGCGTCAATAATGCTTCTAATTCCAGGGCTCGAACCAGTGAAAGTATTTAATAATACGGACTTTACGGACCAAAAATGAAAAATTACGGACCATTTACGGACCAATTACTGACAAAAATATATAAGAGTACATTTTACTTAAAACTATAAATTAGATTTTTTCATAACTAAAAAACATGAAGATATCGATAAGCAATCGATAACTTCATGTTTTATAATAATTAAAGATAGAGTGATAAATTCATTATCAATTCAATTATTATTTTCAAGAATTTTTAACTAAAATTCTTCTGAAAATCGATTATTTTTAATAATTTTCGAAAAAGTTCTTTGACAATTTTCAAATCCATTTGTTTACAATATTCAATCTTACGAAATTTCAATTATTTTTAATTTCTTCAATTAAATATGTATATTAGAAAATAAAAACTTTAAATAATATAAAAAAATCAGCAATTAAACTTTTTCAAAAAAAAAAAATTAATTCCACAGAATTGTTAGTTAAAAATATGAAAAATTCAAATTTTGAAAGATTTGTATCTAAAACCTTTTCAAAATTTAATTATTTCTAAAACTTTACGCTCTAATACTTTTAATATTCAATTATAATCTAAAATTTTAACTGAAATCCATTTATAAATCAATTTTTATGAGAAAATTCTACGAGAATTTCATTATTTAAATACAAAAAAAACAATTTATTGAAAATTTATTGAATATTTACATATGTTTCTTAAAATTGAATTCTTTTAAAGAATTGTATCAATCAATTTTCAAATAATTTGAATTCTTTTGCAAAACTTTATTAAAATAGTAGATATTAAAAATAATTAAATTAGGGAAAATTTTTGAAAATAATTGAAATTTTTCCAAGAATTTTATTAAAATTTTTGAAAATAATTGATATTTCGGAGAAGAATTTAATTATCTATAAAATTTTGACGAGAATTTAAAAAAATTTTTGAGCATAATTGAATTTTTGCGAAGAATTTTATTACTTTTGAAAATAATTGAATTCCTTCAATCATTTGTAATTTCTCTAAAATTATCCAAATTATATCTATAGGGTAGAGTGGGGTAAAAAAGCCACATTTTTACTTTTGATGCTGTAAAATCTGTATTTAAAATTTTTTTCTCAAATTTCCAATTGTTATTGAAAGTTTAGTTATTAAGCTTGAAAATTCTTGACGGAAATATTTTTCATCTCATGAAAGGACTAAGTTATAAGAGTTTTACGAAAGCACTGTAAGTGGCTTTTTTGCACCACCTGGTGGGGTGAAAAAGCCACCCTACGATTTTAGCAAAACATGTTATCAATTTAGGTATTTTTATAGTTTCTCTTTATTTATATGACAAATAGTCTTATTTGAAAAATATTCTAATAATTATGAAAGAGTTTTTAGCAAGCAAAATTGAAAATTATATTAAGTTTACCTGTTTTCCATTTGCACTGCCAATTTTTCGTACCTTTTTTAGAAGTTCTCTTTAAGTTTTACCACAGATAACATATTTCGTTGCAACCGTTTATTCATTGTTTATTTTTTAAATGCACTTTGAACTACTTTTTCGTCGTGTTTAATTTATTTTATTAAATAAACACGAGACATTTTGTAAAATAAGAAGGTTAGTTTAAATAGAAAACAAGTGAATTTCACAAAATATTCAATGGATTTTTTGCCCTGGCTTTTTTACACCCAAGACCAGTTATTAAAAAAAGCAAAAATAAATTGTTAATTCAGTTCAATTTCCAAAAATTAACATTGTATACGTTTTCGGTATACTTTTCTACAAACATTTACTTTTATTATTCGTTCACTTAATCAAATTGTAATATGTTTGAAAAGTTCACCAAAATGTTTTCAAAAAAGCAACAAAAAATTAAAATTACAATAAAAACAATATTAATCTAGGTACAACATTCAAACTAGATTCAAAAGTTGCGTATTACCTAATAGTATTTATATTCTAAACAGCTGATAAATCGGCTTAATAGTTTTTAAATAAAACTCAAATGGCTTTTTTACACCATGGCTTTTTTACCCCACTCTACCCTAATTTACGTACTTTACGGACCTTTTTCAATCGAATTACGGACTTTACGGACCTTTTT